AATACAGGTTATTTTGTTAATCCAGGATACATGGTGGTATGGCAGGATGCCTTGTGAATAATGTTGCAAAACATGGAGTAGCTGGCTGTACCCTGTATCTGTCTTCCCCTGAAGGATGTTAGTCCTACAAGAGAAATACTACAGTAATATTTAAGCCTAACTGCTTTCCCGTTTATTGTTTTTTTTGAGTTGTAATTCTGTTCTTTGTGTTAATGCTACTGGACTAGACTGATCATTTGCATTTCTTTATCTGATAGTGGTACAGTTCAATGCTCCCAAACGATGGTTGTAGTTTTAGCCTATAAACAGGTTTTGGAGCTATTGGGATGGAAATTGCTAATGTAGATAACTATTACAGAAAGAGCTGTTGTCTTAGTAGTTTCATGTAATTAATTTAGTGTTTAGAGAACTTCTGAGGCCTTGAGCAGCTCTAGGCATTGCATATGCGTGCATGTGCGCGTGCACACAGTTTCTGATGTGCCAGATTTATTCTGCATGTACAAATCTATTGTGTGGGTCACATACATACATTCACTAGCAGTCTGGTGCTTCTAGTTTGGGGCATGCTGTGTCCTTTTTTTCTAGTTAGCCAAGTCTTTAATAGCATGGCTTTCTCCTTTTCCGTATTTATCCAGAGGACTGATAGCTCAGCGTGTGCTCTTTCTTTGATTAATAGCATCTGACCTTTCTTCTGCTGGCAGTGAGAAGGGAAATTAATTTACTTTTAGTCCCTTAGGGAAAAGACAGAGGCTGCATGGCTGCATTGGTATCATGTCAGGAGCACAGAAGTTGGAGAGATCTGTGACTTTGTATCTGAACGCTGTATATTAGCTACCCTAGCATGTATTGAACTGAGAGGGCTGAAGTGAAGTATTATGTTCATTAATCAAGGTGCTCAGCTGACAGGTTTTTTTTTAACTACTACTCTGCTGCTGTGGTTTCTGTGTAAGATGGAGCTTGGTTTAGTGGTGGGATGGCAGGGTTAGGTTAACGGTTGGACTTACCTTAAAGGTCTTTCCCAACCTAACCAATTCTGTGATTCTATGCTTTTATCAGTGGTCTTCCTTGAGCAAAAAACAAAGGATAGTTGCAGCAAAGCAGTATAACCAAATACTACGTCTCAGATGCATCCAGGAATAATTCGTCTTTTTAGTCTTTTAAAACTGATTCTGTAACTATAGGCAGAATCTGCAATAACATTTTAATTTGGTTTCCCACTCACCCCAAATCAGGGTGGTAGCACCCTGTAAGCTTAGTGCAGGACTGTCTGTGCCCCAGAACTCCTCCATAGGGGCTGAAGGGCACAGTGCTCCTCCATGGTAGATTACCATGAAGCAGGGGTCCTCCTCAAAGTCCCTCCTCAGCAATTTTAGGGAAAGTAGCTGCAAATGTGCTAGTATCACCAAAGTTTCAGTGAAAGAATAGCAGGAAAAAAACCATCTTTGGTTAAATAAATTAAAGTAGGTAGACTGCTGGAAAAAGCCTGAAGTTGCATTAATCTAGATTTCTGATAGTGGTGTGTCTAAAAAAATATATAGCTATGGTGATGTAAATGGAAGGCTGGTTGGTGGGAGGGTGATTTCTGTGCAACTGAGGGAGTCTTGAGTTAAAAATGTCTCAGAGCTACATACTGTGCTCCACCAAAGTGGTATGAGATGTAGGAGTATTGTGTAATTATTTTATTTACAGCAATGTAGGTTGTTCCATGACTGTCACTACTTGTTGCATTTTGAATGGTACATGGAAACTATGACCGTATTTGTGTGTCTGTAATTACTGCTGTGTATTACAGAACAAGTATCTGCCCCTTGCACTTCTAAGAGTTCAGAGAACCCAGCAAGATTATGCTGGATGTTTTGGGATGACTGTATGGTAATACAGGAATTACTCTCTTTCATTATAGACCCTAAAGCGGCAGAGTCAGTTGGCAATCTACTTCTTTAACACTATTCTAGCTCATGGGGATCTACGAAACAACAAACTAAACCAGCTTTCAGTCAATCTCTGGAATCTTGCTCAGAAACATGGCTTTGCTGACACCAAGACTATGGTAAGGAAAAGAGAGAATGCAGAGAAATTTTGGTTCTTAAGATCTTTTTCAACTCCTCATTTGGGAAAAGGTAACATTTTCTTGATCTGAATAAACCTAATCTCTTTACAGGTTGCTCTCTTAAAACTAAATGAGCTTAAAAGAAAAAACCTCATTTTTTGAATGCTTCTTAATGAATAAGCAGCTTCTCTTATTTCAGATGGTCTCCATCTTTCTTGCACTTTTAAATCTATTTCATGCATTAAGGAACCTGGAAATGTTGGGTGCTATAACTTTTTTTCAGTACAGAAAACTACCTTACAGTAGGTTTTATTTACAATACAGTATTTTTATTTAGTGGAGGAACTGCGTGGTGGGCACTCTAGAACCTTTAAGAAAGATATACATGATAATGAGCTCTGGAGTAAGAAATGCTAGTGCTTGTGTAGCCAGTGAAATATAGGGAAAATCATAACAGTGTCTATTAAAACACCTCCAAGTAGATTAAATGATGGCCTGTGAAATGAGAAAAGATAAAGACACTAAAAATCTCAAAATATCTTTCTTTTCATACCCAGGTGAAAACGCTGGAATACATCAAGAGGCGAAGCAAACAACCTGAAATGAGTCACTTCACAGACTTGGCCCTTCGGCTTCCTCTGCAGTCCAGGACCTGATGAATGCCTCTTTTCCAAGGAGTCATCTGTACAAGAGAGCACGTAGCCAAGGCCAAAAATCACTGATCTAGATTTTGACTGGAGGAGTTCAGTGTATTTTTATTTTACTTAGTGTGACAGATTTACTTGGACACAGGTAAAACTGTTCTGAGTGCAATAATTTAACCTGAATTTGTTTCCAGTTTTACCACTATATTCTTACTTTAAATGCTGATTTAGATTCAGTAAAGGGTATTTTGAACCTGTATGGTTACAAAAGCCTTTCAAAATTTAATCTGTTGTCATTTTTAACAATGAAGGAAGTAGATAATCTGCATGGATCAATTCACAGCCTCCAAACTTCATCCCACTTGCAGAATAGTCTTTCTCCTTGTAGAAAGCAGCATTTCAATACAATAATCCTACTAAGTCGTCTTTCTGCTTTGGGATGCTGCCAACATTTGTTTGGTCAGTTCCAGTAAAAGAGAAAAATGGCCGAGGTGTTACTGTTCTAATTTGTACAATACATTTTCACAGACATGTTTATGCTTTCATTTTAGTTCAGTGGTGTTTTGTAAAATGGAAGGCATCTTTTAAGTGCTGTCTGAAAGTGGAAATGTATGCAAAGTACTCTATATTCGCAAAGTACACTGTATCACTGAATAAAACAATTTGCAGTTCATCTGTTTGTTCTGGGGGAGTTTCTTTGCGTATACAAATTTATCACCTTACCCTTGTGGAATTTAGTTACATGTACTGCTATTACACCTAATGAATTTCATTCTCAGCACTTCTGTCCCACAGTAAGGAACCATGTTGAGACCTTGCATCTATTGCTGCTTTTGCTTAGTGGTAAGTATTTTAATGAGCTAAATCCCTATATGGATATTAAGATGTATTTTTGCGCAAAAATGTTCTATTTTCTTAGGGCTAAACAAGTAATCAGTTTTGCTAGAACCATATATTTGATGCCACCCAAATTATGAAACCATTCATGTTGCGTGTTTTTCATCTCCTCAGTGGTTACTGAAGCAGGGTAGATCTAAAGTATTTATTTTGTGTTAAGGCTGTAAAGAACTGAACTAGGACCCTTTGGTCCTGGTACAGACTATATGTAAGCTGAGTGAAATTGCAGGAATACAAAACAATGATGAAGTGTTATCAAATTGACACAGAACCTTTCCAATTTTTACTACCTAACTATTTTAATTATACTGACTTTTCTTAAATAATTCTGTATAAAGTGCATGTAGATAATGAAATTATAGTACTGCACGTTATCATGTCCCACTTTAATTTAGCCTTCCTTCTTGCTGCAGCTGCACAAAACAACTCTCAACAACACGTAGATGATTCTTCCTGTTGGGCTTGGAAACATAAATCACAAACTGGGTAAGTGGGATTAAACTCTGAGCCCTGTAAACCACCAAGCGGGTCACACTAAGTAAGCAGCTGTGGTATGGCAGAAATTGCCCTCCAGGGGCAAATGTGCTGCTCTAAACCCACAGTGGAGTTCTTCCAGATTCTGTAATATGGAAACTTATGTCAGGCTTACAAATGTCCCAACTGTTCTCTTCCCCATACAGGCACCAATTTTTGCCTGTTGTCTTTTGAGCACCATATAACTTTGGTTTCTTTATTGATGCGAGACCGCCATGAGAAATGCTTTCAACTCTTTTACTACTGCTTTTATTAGTGCAAAAATAGCTCAATGACAGGCAGAAGGCTCTGGTTAATTATCAGGAGCAAACTCTAAACATCTAGCTAACACATAATAAACTGCTTTTGGCTTACTTCCATGTTAGAGCAAAATTAATTTTAGGTAAAGCACTCTACTTATTATAGACCTCCTCTTTCTTCTGTATATAGCAAATATATAGGCCAGACCAAGTTTGACTGCATGAAAAAAGCTGACAGCTTTTTCTCCAGGTATGTGTTATTTTTCAAACTACGTTTTCATGTGCACAGTGTTATCAAGAGCAAGGTGCCAGGCCATCCACAAAGCCATAGTCAAGAAACACCCTGGTATACATTATGCAGTTCTAGATGGGAAAATGAGTCCTTATCCAAAGGCAAGGCTAGGACTGGTATTGCCTTTAGCATCTTCCTCAGTGGCAGAGCAAGACCGATCACTAGCCATCCAAGACTGCCTCTGCATCAGAAAGCTGAACACACTGTCCCTCTCCTAAATAAAGTGACTAGTTGATGTTTTCCTACCTGTTCCTTTACTTTTTTTTTTTTTTTTGCCAGGCAAGTAGCTGAGGGCCTGAATTCAGCATTTATCTTAAATCAGAAAACAGAACCTCCATTACCTGAATTTAAGTAAAGCAACAGCTGAAGCCTAGAAGGGCCAGCTGAAGCCAGTCACTGAGCTTTTGAGAGCACTGGTGCAAAACAGGCTCACCCTGAGGTCATGGTGGTTTTAAATGACACTTTAAAGGAGATGCTTTCCTCAGACAAGTTCAGACCCTGGAGGGGTCAGACCTCTTCCCAGATATGGGAATGGATTCATGGCAAACCCTTAAGCTGGAGCCTCTGCATAATTTTCACTTCTCCTGAGGAGGTGCCCAAAATGCATTGGAACCAACTACTCTTTTGTTAAATGTATTTTCTGCTGGAGGCAGCTGCTTTCAGGTAGAGTGGTCCACTGGAAAAGACTATTGTGGAAAGTGAGGTTGCCTTAAAAGAGCAAGAAAATCACTAGTTCAGTTGGCATGATCTTACCACAAAGGATAGGTAATTTGGCAGAAAAACCATGAGCTGGGCTAGTAGAGTAGTAACCTAATTCTGGGGGGGCTGGGGTTCCCCTGCAAGTCAGCAACTATTACACCACAGCAGGCATGGACATAAGAGATGGTCACCTTGTTCTGCTTAAGAACCAGAGATACACTAAAACTTAACACCACTGTCTCCCCTAACCAGTGGCACAGCCAATAATAAAATACATGACAGTTTTTCAGTCTTTTTTTGTCACTTCAAGCAAGACACTGATAGACTGCTTTAGACCCTTGAATTCTGAACACAACATACACAAATGCGGTCTCATATTTTGTACTGTTATTAAAAAGCCCATGAAAGTGCAAGTCATCTAAAAATCCAAAGGTTAGAAGTTTCAACTTTTTGCAGGCATTGCCCACGTATCTTCAATCTTTGAAGGAGGCTGTCTCTTGCCTTGTAGAAGACATTGTAAAGGTTTCAAAAACTTACTATTTAGCTGAAGTGAGAACCAGCTCCACATAATCTGGTGTATGCAGTTGAAAAATTGTACTAAAAGTGCCTCATAAATCAAATTTCTTAAGCATTTTGTATTTTATTTCAAGTAAAAAGATGTGGAAAATGAAAAGAAATTTGCCTGAATTTTGATTCATTAATTCAGAGTTTTAATCTTCAAATTTTATAGATCTAGATGTATATTTGTCTATGTATACTTTTTTGTTGGCAGCAGGTTGAAATCCAAGACCAATTCCTCTGTGTTGCTTCAAGTCCACTGCTTTATCAAATTCCATCTTCAGAGCCTGCTGTAACTTCTCCTCCCCTTCCCTGTTTAAAGCCATGTTCGGTTTGTTTGTAGTTGCAGAGAGATTTTGGATAGGCACAGAGCCCTTTTTAAAGCCACCCATCAGTCTAAAAAACTTCATTTCTTCCTCAGAACTTTGAAAAGCAGCTGTACTCCACTGGCCAAACTTTGTATCCTGTGAAGCAAAACAAGGTTAATACTAAAATTAAATAATACCAAGACAAAGGAAGTTAATTTCTGGCTGTGTACCGTGAGAACAGAAACAGCTACGAAAACCTGGTAGGGTTGACAAGGCTGAGAAGCAGTCATTCCACAGGTAGTACCTCTCAAAGGATGTGATAGGAGAATGACATAACCTGCATGAGTGCATCTTCATTAACATTTCAGTCCATTTAACCTGGAGACAGGGTTTAATGCACTTTCAGAATCTCCTTTCCTTCTGTCTTTAGGAATCTTGACTTTTCTGATCTCTGGGTAATATTTGCCTAGCTCAAAGAGCCAGACATTGCCTAATCATTTCTAAGACAACCATCAGTTTAATGCTCTTTCTGTTTCACTCTGTCATTTGATACAGTTATCTTTTCATTTTCCTACTGCCTAGTTAGGTAGCTGTTTTCAGCAAAAACTGAGGGTACACCCTTATCCAACAGGAACTCTTCAAGCCTCCCCTCCCTCGCAGCTTGCCATTCCTTAACTCTGCCTTTCACTGTATTCTTTGACCTAGTTAACTCCTTCAGGATTTTTCTTCTGGCTCCCTTCTGAGAATATAAGTAATGTCCAAGTAAAATCAGAATTCAGCCATTTGTGGATAACCCAAAATACATCATATGATTTACAAAGTTTATGAACTTTTGGCTTACCTAAGAACAGGCTTCATTATCTAAGAATCTTATTTGACTCCCGAGCTAGAGCTAGGAGCTATGCAATCATTTATAAATTTTTGGCAGGACTGCTACTCACAATTTTTTCTTTAAAATTGGGGGTGATAGTAAATGGAAGAATGTTTGATCATTAATTAAATAGATTTGCTGGCTACATCAAAGGAAAAAAATGTGAATTTAGTGGTGTGTTTATGTAAGCCTGAAATCCTTCCAACCGAACAGTTGTAGCTTGCATAAAACAGTCATTCTCCACTAGACAGCCAACATGACGCACAGCATGCTACACAATATTGCAGGCAAGCTGTAGCAGGTTTTTTAAGTTAAAAAAATTGCAAGGCTGGAATATCATTCACTACCACAGGCCATAATACCTGCTATTAAAAGAAAGCTATCCATACTACTTTAGTATTTTTACCTTGCTCAAAGGCAAGTTGCAGTATAAGCCCAGGTCTGTGACACAGTCGCATGCACACATACACACACACACACACACACATATATATATATATGTATGTCCTCCCTTTGGAATGGGAGACATCTGCACAGATGCAAAAATAATTATGGCTTGTCAAACCCTGTAATTTTTTTTTAAGTGAATTGCTGGCAGGCACTACACACAGCTCTTGCTGCAGCATTTCCAGCTCACTCTGTGTGAAGCTGATGAATAGCTTCTACTCTTCTGCATACTACTGAACAGAGACGGATCAGCACCAAAGAACTGAAATGCCCTGCCAAGGATGTCATTTTTCTCAGTGACTTCAGAGACTATTAGATAGTTTGCAGTTCCAGAACTATTGCAGTCTGCCTCCCACTATGTAAAAACCTACAGGAGTTGTTTCTGGCATTTGTTTGAGGTATATTCCAGCTTTCTAGGCATACTGGCATTCTTGCAAAACAACTAAGAATCCTGAATTACTAACAAAGCTTTCTCTCCTTCTGATTCTTATTACCCCTGTGGAACCCTACTGCAAGTTCCCACTACCTTACTGTAAAACCCTCAGGAGGCAGGCTGAGTAGGATGCTAAAGCAAAGAACAAAGAATTGTCTTTCAGAGAGGTGGAGGAGAGATGTAGAAGTTAGGAGAGGACTGACTGTAAATATCACACACGTGTGTTACCAGTTGTTATCCCTTTTACCTTTCCATGTGCATCCCTGTTTCTGAATGTCTGCAAAGTCTTCCAGATAACAATTCAGATACAATTCAGTGATTGCTATATCCATAGCCTAGAATTATTTATATTTCACAGTAAGCAGAAAATGCTTCTGTAGCAATTTGTCGTGGCTCATTCTCCAGAGGAACCAGAGAAAATGCTGCTTTTGAGGACTTATGATGGGAATCAGAGCTCTGTACAATGCCAACTGCTGGTGGACTTCACTGGTCAGCTCCCAGACTCTCTTGAGATTGTACTAACTTGTTCCATAGCATGACCTTAAATTTACAGTCAGAAGGAAGACTGTTGTGCCAAGCCAGCTACCTGAGCCACATAAAAAAAAAAGTGTGCAGTGGTTTTTTTCAGGAACTTGCTCTGGGACGCAGCATTTCCATCAGATCAAGGTCTAAATTCATACATACCCGTTCCACTTTGGGACTGAAAACCTTAGTTTTGCCAGATTCTCTATCGATTTCTTCTTGCAGAGCCTGCCGCCTCACCTAGCATGCAGAAAAAACAGCACAAGACACTATCTTCTGTGTGTTAAATGACAGTTAATTTAATCACAGTGAAAAGATAAAAGGAGAATAAAATAGTTATCTTCAGAATTTTGCAAGGTTAGAAAGTTGCATGTGATCCTTTTAGACACTAAACTTGAGAACTATGATTCTTCTAGTATTTTAAATGAATATTTCGCTGTATCAGATATGTTTAATCTTCTAACTGCAGGTAACAGCTACACTGAAACCGCCAACATTGATGAGAGGCAAAGAAACCTGTAACCTAATAAGCTACTTAGGCTGGAGCTATACATATTGGACTTAACCCATGGAAGGTAAAGCACAATTTAAGCAGAGCTCTATTTAAAGGAAATCTTGGCACAGACAAGCAACCAAGCAGGTTTTTCTGTTACAAATTTAAATGCTGACTTGCTTTAAATCTTACACAGTTAAGACAAAGCATACCTTGTCTATGTTAACTTCATCACAGTTTCCTTTTTTTTCCTGAACAATAGTTACATCACCCACATGTTCCTGTAAAACAGGAAAAAGCTTGTATGAGTATTTTTATCCATTCTGGTTAATTGGAATTACACAGCTCTGACCACAAAAGCAGTAAAAACACTAAGCAATACAGTAGTACTATTTTGGGACAAGAAGAAAGTCAGATCTAAGCTGGAAATGCCAATTAAAGACATACATTTCTTTGGAGAGACTTTCTCCCCAAGGCTTGCACAACAGAAATTTGAGGAGATATTACCCTTTTTTAACGAACAAGATAAGGGATTTTTTTTTTTTTTAAAAACAAACATTAAAATGGACCTGCCAACGTCACTGGCACATACAATAACATTTGCAGGCAGGGTCATTTCAGATGAAATAATTTCATAAAAGTTAAAATTTATACTTGCAATGAGGGATAGAAAGAGTAAAAGAAAAAAAAAAGAAAAAAGACATTTAAAAAATAGTAGTAAGACAATGGCCCCTCTGAAGGTACAGGACAAGCTTGAGGCATGCTGATCCCACTAGTCACTTAAAAAAAACAACCAAACGAAAAAAAAAAATAAATCAAGAAGCAGCTGCATTGTGCTCTGTTTTTACAGATGCAGAGTAGATGATGTCTCCAAGGAGCTCCCAGTCTGGAGAGAGCACGAGAAGAGGCCTGACACGTACATAAAACCTCTCCTACAGTGGCAGCAAACAGCCCGTTAGTTCCACATTTGAGAGTGAGGAACAGGGAGCTGATGTGAAGAGACAGAGCAGCTATGGTAGGAATGGATGGGCAGGATGGCAGGAGGTAAATCAGTGGCAGTGTCCACAAGCAGTCAGATACTGATGACTCTTCCACAAAGTGCAACCCTTCAGCAGCTTTTGCTCCCCTTGACTGGCATTTCTAGATCATTGCCCTCAGCCTTTCTTTTCCAAATACGTAATAAGGATTTTTGGGCATCCAGTGTAACAGGATAAGTAATAAGTCCAGGATAGTGGTAAATTAGAGCCATAAGCTTTAGACCAACCTGGTAAGGGTGGCCAAAGGGAAGATCTATTAATACAGCGAACATAATAATCCAAGCATGAAATAGACAGGGAACACTAAGACAAGGAAAAGATTTGTAATACTTCTGTCAGCAGAAGCTGCTGTTACTTTTTTGAGGGTTTACAGTTTTATTTAAAGCCATGAATAATTTACTTCATTTTCCAAAGCTACCTTTTATACATTGATTTCACACACACACACACGAGTACATGCACCATTAAAAATGTGAGAACACTGTGTAATAAGGACAGCTCATTCTCTTGGATGAAAAGAAAAAACCAAAAACCAAAAAAAACACCAATTTACTTCTAGATGGCCTGGTACTGTCTTTTCACATCTATTGAAACAAGCAGGAAAACTGTTGTGACAGGATTCTGCAACATTTTTTTTTTGTAGCTGGAAGGTTAAGTGGTAGACATGGGAGGAAGAAGGCTGAACCCCCATCCCTCCTAATTCACAGCACGTTGCTGACTGGCTGAAGGCTACTGCATGGCAAAAATTACCATTACATTACCCCCTCTGGAGGTGTGCTCATCTTCCCCCATCTTCATGGAAGTGAAGCACGCTCACGTGTGGTAGGATTATGCTATTTGCAGGCAAACAATTTCAAAGAAGTAAACTGAGTCCTCACTCTGCCCAAGTTGACTGTAATGGCATCCAATGGGAAAAATACCAATCATTGATATCAAGTGGGTATCACTCCACACTGTCTTTAGAAAATTACTCTTTTGCTTGCTGCACAAGCCCAACAGAGGATTTTTCAAAGGCATGCAGCAGTGTGTGTAACACTAGAAAATGGTTCCGGACTATGGCACAGTTTATCAACCATTTATTACAGCAGGGTCTTTTGGCCTGGCACGAACTAGATTTCTCTAGAACTGATTTACCCAGACTTCTCAATCTTGAGAATTTCTCTGAAGTACTTTTTATTATTAAAGGACAGAGCTGAATATGAGAAACAGAACATGTATCACCCTACATCCTTCTCAATTGTTTGCAAGGTATTTGCTGTGTTCTCCACTGTAATTGGTCAGGCAAGTTTATTTGTCATCATTAGGCTTATCTTGCCTCCACAGAATATGAGTGGCTGCAAGAATCCAAATATTGTCCACCAGTCTCAAAAAGGAAATGTCAATTTAGAAAATATATCCCAGCAATAAAACCACCTTGTCCTTTGAAAGGTCAAAAGGAGAAACCCAAGTAAAAAGCCCCAAATATCTGCTCACCTTAACAACTGATGAGCATACACACTCCCAACACAAACCTTTGTGGAAAAAGCCTGTATCTGGGTCTCCGTGAAGGCTGAAGAACCTGCTTATATAAATCTGTATTTAATTATTAGCACTAGACCCCCCAGAAAGCTTCTAGGTTTCCAAATAACATGAAGAAACTGCATATATGAGAGCGTAGCAAAGCAAAGTACACCATGAATTGTGCTTGAGAGGCAGCTAGCACTATGGCCCGCTCTATCCCTAGTTTACAAAAATCTTCAATGATGCTTAATTAACTAGTGCTTGACTTTTAAACAAGCCAAGCATTCAAAGTTCTTGATAAAAAACAACTGGAATGCAGTTTCCCATTACCTATGAAAATAAAAACAAGTTTCTAATGTCTTGCAATGAGCTGTTTTCAAAGTTGTTTAAGCAGCTAAAAATACAGGTAGATACCTACTGAATTTCTAAGCATCTCGCAGCTTAATTTCCAATGATAACAACAGAGGTCAGGCACGTAGGTACTAACTTTAGGCACAAATTTCTTTAAAATATGACCCTAATCAGCTAAAAAAAGTTAAAGCAATAAACCCGGAGTTTAATAGTCTAATTTTTGAAAAAAAAAAAAGAAATCAAAGAAGAAACCTCTGTATTTCAAATCTTTCATCTGCTCCTCTCCATGTTTGTTTTGCCTCAGAAATGGCAGTACTGCAAGACTCTGGGATGGGATTTCCTTTAACAGTCAGACTGGATACAATTTGTTACCTTCAGTTATAATTTATACAGCTCTGATATCTATTTATTTTCTCGCATATTTTTTAAATTAAGAATTTGTGTTTAGATTGCTCTCTAGTATTTTTCCATCACAATTTATGCATCAATGCTCTAGGCCTAGTCTACACTTAGGATTTTCTCTGAAGTTTTGTCCAAGTCCAAACAACAGGTCTGGGCTAAATTTCACCCTTGTTCCTAACACTATGCAATTCCAGCAGCAAAACCTTGAGGAAAAATCTTAACACATGCAGTTATATGCACTCATGCTGCCAGTGTTACCAACCTGCTCAACTTAAATAACATGGTATTAAGATCCTGGTTTACAGGAAACACTAGATACTACAGCAGTAGGCATTAAAAAATACTTTACCGTGTTTCACAACTATTATATGCTGACATCAATAGATCAGCTGATCCTACTTCTCAAAACTCAAGAGGAGGCCCCTACTGACCTACAGGTAACCTAAGGGTCTGGCCAGGCAGAAGAGCCTGCAAAACAGGGAACTGTCTACCTAAAAAGCTTCCAATTCCTTAGCAGGAGGGTGCAAAGATACCCTCTTCTTTACAACTTACCAGTGCCTCATTTCCCATGTCTTCTCTTTTGATCTTTTTCTTTTTTGCATTTGCTTTTGAACCTGGTTCTTCAGCAGAGTCCTGTGGCACTTTTTTTCTTTTTTTCCTTTTTCTGTCACAGAGCATATGATTACTACTGCATAACAGCCTATCTACAGCACCCCCTGTGACACATGCAGCTGGCTTCATCTCACACTCTTCATTATTTTTATTGCTTTCTAGTAGTGTTACTGCTTGGCTTTTAGATGCACTGTCATCATTTAAAGAAACTTTTGAATATGTTGTTTCCTCCTCCTCTTTCTCAATCTTCTTTTTCTTTTTCTTCTTGATTACTTCATTATTATCCTTGATACTCTTCCTGCATTTTTTTCCAGAAGGCTCTTCTTCCTCAGACTCATCTTCTTGCTGTGCAGGGAGATGCTTATCAGGAACTCTGTGACTGCAGTCTCGATCATCTTCACATGTTAAGGAGGAAACATCTTTGCTTCTCTTCTTCTTCCTCTTGGTCTCCCTGCTACTTCCAGAGTTTTCAGTAATGTCCTCTTCCTCTCTGTTTGTCAGTGTAATTTCCCGGAAAGTCTTTCTTTGCCTTTTTCTGAAGTCACTTAATGCAATGGGGCTATCAGGAACTCCATAGATGTTGTCTTGATTATCTGCTAGTGGTAAAAAGGAGTCGGACTTATCTTTCTTTTTCTTCCTCTTCTTTCCTCTCACATAACTCTCCCCATCATCCTGGATAATATCTGTTCCATGGTTTTCACCAGTAAAAGCTTTTTCTTGTGAAAAGTGTTTGTGTGGTTTTTTACGAACTTTTTCAGACTGTTTATGTTCACTGTCCCGGATGTCTTCTAATGCTAAAGAAAAAACGCCTTTCTTTTTTTTTTTCTTAGTTACTTCACCACCCAGTTCCAAATTCAAAGCAGTGTTCTTTGTGCTTTTTTTAAAAGCAAATTCATTTTCCTTAGTACCATCTGTATGATGATTTGAAAACTCTGTATCACTACTCTGATTATTCTCCAATGAGAAGGATGAATGACATTGGACTTTTTTTTTCTTCTTCTTGAGAATTTTAATTTGTTCCTCTGATTCTTCTTGAGGTTCTGAATCCAGATGGCCTTCTACATTCACAAGGCTTTCTGAATGTGCTTCTTTCAGTAATTCAGAGCCAACTCTCTCTTTCTTGTTTTTCTTCTTCTTCTTCTTCTTCAGTTCTAATTGGTCTAAACATTCATCTTCTTTTAAATCGTCCTTTTTCCTTACCTTTGTTTTTGTCTCAAGCTGGTCATCATCCTCAGTTTTAATGACAGTTTGAACACCTTTCTCAATTTTAGCGATAGTCTGGCTCTTGCTACTTTTCACCTTTTTCTTCTTCTGTACAGGTTCCTCATGAACTTTTCTCTTTTTCTTTTTTATCATTCTAAAAAATGAAATTAAGACATTAGCGCACCATTTCAACAAGATGACACAAGTCCTAGTCTATTTGGCCTTCCTTTATTCTGAAACCACTCCGTATCTCTCATTGTCCCCGGCGCACTTCTTCCCATTTCAGTGTCTGCTTTCTGTGATGGGAGGGAACGAGAACTGCATGCAGCACTGAAGGTACAGTCTCCTGGAGTGGTGAAGGGGTGATTTTTTTGTCTTGTTCTTTACTGCTGTCCTAGTTAATTTGTAACTTTCTATTTGTCTTTTTGACAACTGCTGAGCATGACATTTTTACAGAAATATCTACCCTCTAAAAATCCTTCCTAAATGACCAAGCATATATATAACTAACTATACTTTATACATAAATAAGTATAGTTAGGGTGGCTTTCCACATATGTATGACTTTTCACTTAATTTAACACCAAATTTCACTTTATTGCCCACTTAGCATTACCAGATCCTTCTAAGGCACTTTAGTCATTACCTCGAATTTGCTTCTGTTTGGGATTTCTCGTCCTTGCTATCCGTTTCCTTTCTCGGGACATCTATGCCTACGAGCAGGTTACAGCAGAGAAGCCTTTGGGACCCACCTGGTGACACTCCCTGTCTTTGCCGAGAAACCTGTTTATCCCTACTCGATTTCCCATCTTTTAACTAATAACTAATCCATAGGATTTCTTTAAGTCCCTCTTGTACGGCACCCTGTCAAAACCCTTTAAAGAAAATATCTAAGGATGCCATATCATCCTACACCTTGTGACCCGCACGCCTGGCAGAGCTTTCGGATGGAGCCCGCCGGCGCCTGCGCCGGCCCCAGACC